ATTTTACAGGTAAGGTAATAGAAACTCAATAGAGGCAACAATACTTCCCAGGGGCTCTGCTATGGCGCACGCACATGGAGGTCAAAGATCACTGGGTCTCTTTCTGGATCATTTTCCACCTTATTTTTTAAGGCAAGATCTCTCACTGAACCTTCAATTCACAGATCTGGCTAGGCTAGAAACCAGCAAAACCCAGGGACCCTCCTAGCTCTATCCCCTGCACTAGAGTTACAGAGAGGCGCCACCCACTCAGCCTTCTTAGGGTGCTGAAAATCCAAATTCTGTTCCTCCTGCTTGAGAAGCACTCTTCTGGCAGAACTACCCCTCCCACCCAGCTTGTTAAACAACAATCTCATCAAAAAGACTTGCCTCTCCCTGTAGTAAGGCAGAGGGTTGGTTATTCTGCCATAGGGAATCCATTGTGATCTCTCCAAAATGGTGGTTGGGGAGGGAGTGCACAAAGCATCAGACATCCACCCTCCCTTCCCCCGAAGGTACCCATCTTGCCCAGCACACAGTGAGAAAGAAGGGAAAATCCCAATCTGTCGCCTACAGAAGGCTGAGCCATTAGATGAAAGACACTGAACAATGAAGAATTTAGATGGTTCTCCCCAGCATTTGAGAAATGTCACACTGCCCTATCTGTGAACTGGGTCTTCAAATCAGCAATCTCCATTAACAGCAGCTGGCTGTCAGAGACTGTTTCTCTCAAATGGCTTCACATTGAAAAGCAATTCTGTGGGGTCCTGAAACTTAAGTTATTTTTATATATACTTTTTCCCCACTAATGTTTATGTCTACCTTTAATGTTGTAATGAAGAAAGTAGCACACACCAATCTTGTTGATGCTTTTGGAAAAATTGTCTCCTAAGATGGAACAGAGTTTGAGAAGCAGTTAATAATCTCATTACCCAGGACCCTGTTGAAATTGCTCATCTTCTTTTGCAGTTCAGTTTTTGGCAGAAAAGACCCTGAAATCCGAAGGGCTATTCTCATGGAGGGAGTGCTCAGGCACAGCCCTAACTGCCACACTTAAACCATTCTTACTCAATTTGGACAATTTTTGTCAATTCACCTGGAATTGCTACCAATCAAAGCATATGGTTATTTCTAGCCTGCCCACCATCCTTCCCAGTGATCTCTCCAGGGGACTGAGCCTGTGTGAGGATAGAAATTCCAACCATTTGGCTCACATTAGCATCCAGCGTGGTAGCTGCCTGTGAGGGGGTGAAGGCGTTTCATAAAACTACATTGGGGAAATAGAAAGAGGGGCTCTGTGAATAAGGCACCTGCCTTGAAACAGTAAGAACTGGAATCTGGGTGCTCAGAGCCCATGTAAAGCTGGAAAGAGGCATATGTCTATAATCCCAGCACTCCTGTGGTGGGATCGAACATAGATAGGAGAAACCCATCGATCCACAGGTACCCCAACATAGAAGATAAGGACCAATGCCTGAGATTGTCTTCTGTCAATCAAACACTCACTGTGGCACACATGGGCCCACACTCACACAACTGTGCGTGTGCACACATCCCACAAGTTTGCTGTGGACTTGAAGGAGGGCTAAGCATTCTGGGAGTGCATCAGATACCATGCTCCCTCCCCGCTCCCAGTGGGTTTTGCTTTTAAGTAACAGTTAGATATCATTGGCCCACAAACTCAGAGTGAAAAAACCAGAGATGGCCAGGAGAGCAGCCATGTAACCATGTTAGAGAAAGGCTTGACAAGCAACAAAATGCTGGCTCCCCTAAGTGTTCACTGTCTGTGCATTTCCATTTACTGACCTGTTTGTATTCCACACACTGTGCGGGGACACTGGACAGATAAATCCCTAATCAAGCCATAATAATGGGGATAATGACCGCACCCCTAGAGTTAATGTTATCCATTAATAATGACAACTAGAATCCAGGCCTTGTTGTACATTTTTTCCATGTGTGTTTCTGTTCATAGGTGGTGTCGTTTATCCTGTTTACAAATGGGTGAACTCAGGTTCCATGGACTGCCAGTGTGTCAGACTTCCATCCTTGAGTCTGAGCTGGTCCTCATGCTCTCACTGGCTTCTGGGGAATTCCCCCACAGACAACCCTGAGCCAACTGGCCTTTGACCCACTTGGGGCTGCAGGATGGGGATGCAGAGTCCTTGGCTAGGGCTAAAGAATGGAAAGGGGGGCTGTAAGACCCCATCATTTGACCACTAAGCCTGGTTGTTGAGAGGTGCACTAAAGTTTGTGTGACCCACCTTGCTGTGAGTCTGTAGAGTTTCTAACACTCCCTCTCTGCTTCCTTCCAAAGAGGGAAGAAGAGAGAAAAGGAGGGGAGGAGGAAAGAAGGAAGGACAGAACTTAGCCAAACCGGGTTCCATTTTGGCTCAGAACAGATCCAACCTAAGACCTCAGCTCTTCTAGCATATGACCCTCAGGGCTGATAGCCCCATGAACCCCAACAAGAGGCCCCTCCATGGCCTGTCATGCCTAGGTCAGCCATAAGCACCAGTGGAGACAGGACAGTTGTGCCAGGCTTTAAAGCAATGCTTTTCCCATCCAACTGGAACACTGTGATGTCGGATCCCATGTTGCCCCCAGCTAGCAGAGTTGGCAGTCAGTCTGCCAATGAGAAGCTTGCAGCTGATGGGACCTGTGGCTAGAAGGAGAAATAAAGACCATGACCCCCAAATGAGCTGCAGGCAAGTAGAATACCCAAGATGTCTTGAGGTACTGGAAGGGGCCTGAGGTTAGAGCTGGCAGGTCGGAGGTGAAGTGGGTGAGGGCTGGTGACAGTCATGACTAGTTCTCACCAGCAAGTCATGAGGCCACTGGGGGTTGGTGTTCATAATTCTAAAAAGAAAATAACCATTTTATTAGTCAGGGTTTTCTAGATGAATATAATAGATAGAATATGTGTGTGTGTGTGTGTGTGTGTATAATTAGGATTACATACCCACACACACAATTAAAATCAACTATCAACTTTCGCTGAAATAGTAACAGCTATCTCACACCAGAGAGGCTAAGAGCCTGGTGGTTGCTCTGATTTCTGGGGCCCCTCAGCTGTCAGAGGCCACAATCGTTGTTCAGCACAGAAGGCTAAGGGTCTCAGAACTCTCAGTCTGACAATAAAGACTGAAGCATCCCTGGGTCTGCCTTGGAAGCCTGGAGACTCTGGCTCTGTATCTGTGAAGGAATAACAGCTGCAACAACACCAGAATGAATTAGCTCTTGATGGAGACAGTGAGCAAAAGTCTAGTATCTCCCTTTCTCCGAGCCTTTATCAGGACTGCTACCAGAAGGTGCAGCCAACACTGGAGATGGATCTCCCCACATCCAGTAAGACCATCTGCTCAATTCCTCAGTGGATGCCCCTACTCAGGTGATTCTAAGTGTGGCAAGTTGATGTTGCAAATCACCACACCCTTGTAATGTCATCGGTGAAAGGCTAGCACCCTGCCCACTGCTCTTTACTGCACCCTTCATGGACCAGCTCGTCTCTGCCACAAATTCTCTGAAGCCATTTTGATCGCCACCTGATGAAGACAGAGCACTGGCAAAGTCACAAGCTGTGCATGGCACTTTCCAGCTCGTACCCAGTGAAGCTAGGATTTGATCCTTGATCCGTTTGGTGCCAAAGTTTGTCTTGCTAATACCGACCCCCCTTCCCTCTGGTTTCTGCCCCTCCCATCCGGTTTCTATGACTCCTTGCCCCAAACAGGAAAAGACATATTACCACTGTCTTCACAGCCCCTTATCCTAAGCATCTGTGTGAAAATTACCAGTTAGTTCTTGAGTCAGGGATGGACTGGGCAGAGTCAGCATTCAGTCCTGTCAATGGGAAACATTGTACACAAGGGGTGCCAGGGGTACCTAGCAAATAAATCAGGTCATAGTACACTTGGACAAACCAGTCAGAAACACAGATCCTAATGTGTTATCTGCTTCTCAGATGTTCAAAGACCAGTTTTACAGTGAACAGTGAGGGGCTTTTAAATATTATGTAGCTTCCTAAAAAGAATCTAGGCCCCTGGACAGGTCTCTCCCACTAACCCCTCACCCCGGTCCCTGACATTCCCTAACTTATTCCTACTTCTGTTGTTCAAATAGACCAAGTTCATTACTGCCTAAGGCTCTTTGCACCAGCAAAAGCTATTGTGTCTCCTGCTTGGAAACTTTCTTCTTTACATCTCAGGCCTTACACTCCATTTCCCCAGACCCCTACCAGGGAGACTTAAATCCCTTCCTTCTCATCCTCTCTCCACGCTTAACAGCCTCTGGGGTGGTCTTCTTATTTCCTGGAATGCTTGAAAAGTACTCAACAAATGGCTGACTCTCAGTGAACAGGTCTGGGTTGAGTGGACAAAGCAAAACCAAACAAAATAAACAAGTGAATAAAAAAAATTGCTGATTTCTATAGTAGTAAGGACCCAGGAATCTGTATTCAAAAGAGTCCCCATTTCTACTTAACAAGGGCAGAGACCACAAGCCATAGCACTGTGCTTAGTAACACCTTAACAACCACCGGCAGCTCTCTCCATACACATTGCTGGGCAAGGCTCCAGAGCTAAAAGGCACTAATTGCTTTTATATAAGGAGATAGGAATGCAGTCCTTCTGTGTCCCTTAGTCCTGATGGTCTGCATTATCGGATCTGTTACCATGTTAATTGATGCTGTCTCACACAGTTCAGGCTTCACTCTGAATATGTCTGGGACAATGACAGGCAGAGAGAAAAGGTAATAATTGGAGTTCTCTCTCTCTCTCTCTCTCTCTCTCTCTCTCTCTCTCTCTCTCTCTCTCTCCACACTTGTGTATGTGTGTGTGTGTGTGTGTGTGTGTGTGTGTGTGTGTGTGTGTGTAGATATGTCCCCATACTGGGAACGGTTACTACGCAGCCAGGCTGCCTGTGCTCAGGGCCTGAGACTGCCCCAGGAGTGGGAGGGGTGGGCCTGGAAGGTGGAGTAGAGCTGGCTTGACTTGCACAGGCTGCCTTCTCCCCACAGGAGTGCAAATGCTTGCCTAGATAGTCTGAGAATGGTGAACTCAAGTTGCCTTTAGGAATGGCTGCAAAGCCCACACCTGGAACTCTCCCCTCCCTGCTCCTCCACGGCAGGTTGCATTTGGGAGACTATGATCATTAGAGGAGAGAGACAGGAGTGAGCCATTCACCAGCTCGCCAGCACTTGGGAGAAAGCAGCAGCATGGATGTGGTCGACAGCCTTCTTATGAATGGGAGCAACATCACTCCTCCCTGTGAACTCGGGCTGGAAAATGAGACGCTTTTCTGCCTGGATCAGCCTCAGCCTTCAAAAGGTAGGTGCCAGAGGCTATGGTTAAAATTCAGAAAACTACCGAGTTATGGGAGATATAGCAATAGCAAAGCTAATTGAAATATACATACATCATGTGGGGTGTGTGTGTGTGTGTGTATAAAAAGTCCCTGTGAGACAAAGCTAAATGAAGTTGTATGTTCAGAAGTTTGGATAAAAGAGTAAGAGAAATCTACAGTCAAATATTTGTATGGGAGAGTTGGGGGCTCATGCAGGATTCGGGGGATGATAAAAAAGAGACATAGGGAGAAAGGGGTGCCAAGTGTGGAAGTCTGAACTTACAAGCATTACAGAAAAAGCACTGTCACAGGGCAGAGATTGCTTTTTCTTAGGGGAAACCCAGCATGAAGAAGTAATTAAAGCAAAATAAATGTTTAGCCTCGGGGAAAGGAAGCCAGAAGTATTCAAGTACATTGTCCTTAGCTTTTCCGAGTGATCCGTTAGCATCCCAACCTTTAAAAAGCAATTGGATTGCCCTGTGCTATCTCAGGCTTGTTTCTGTATGATGGAGCTAGTCTAGGAGTACTTAGGTTCCGTGATGCATACCCCTGGAGACAACATCAGGAACTAACCACTCCCTTGGGGGCTTAAGGATTTTAACACTCTCCCCTCTAAACACCTCTCCCTCCAACTCTTCCCTTTACTCTGCAGAGTGGCAATCTGCAGTGCAGATTCTCCTGTACTCCTTCATATTCCTTCTCAGTGTGCTGGGGAACACGCTGGTTATAACGGTGCTGATTCGAAACAAGAGGATGCGGACTGTCACCAACATCTTCCTGCTGTCCCTGGCTGTCAGTGACCTCATGCTTTGCCTCTTCTGCATGCCGTTCAACCTCATCCCCAACCTGCTCAAGGATTTCATCTTTGGAAGTGCTGTGTGCAAGACGACCACCTACTTCATGGGTGAGTCCTGCAGGTGTCTGTTGATGGGCTTATCCCACACCCTCCCTTTGTCAGCCCCTTAACAGTCACAGCAGAGAGACCCTGCTGGGTTCCAAAACACCAGGCTGTCTGGATCTATGTGCAAGGGCACAGGTGTTTTCTTCTCAGCACGTCAGTCCTCCTCATGCCAGGAAGTGTGTGTGTGTGTGTGTGTGTGTGTGTGTGTGTGTGTGTGTGTGTG